CAGCCAACGTTCCTTCAACACTAACAGCCCCTTCTGTTCCTCTTGGAACTATCTTGAATGTCGTAATTAGGTACCTGGACATTATGCATCAGGAACTTAACCGAGGATATCATAATTTACAATAAATTATGAGCTAAAATAATAAATTTAGACTAACAATAATTTTTCCTATCAATATTAAATGTAAAAATGCAAATATGTTCAACAAGGTCCGACCAATGCAAGGAATTGCCACAAACGGAAGGGTATCCCTTAGTTTCCAGTTGAATACTTTGGTAACAGAAATTACAGGACAGACTATAAATTTCTTCATCAATACAGAATTAAGATTTTAAGAGGTTCCGTCAGTTTATTGCATGTAACTTATCTGAGGGTAAAATAACCGTGACAAATCTTCACAAGTTGATGTTTACAAGAAGAGGACATGGCTAAGGTCCCAACTCCCAAGTAGGCAACTCAGTGGGTGAGTTAGGGGGCATTGAGGGAGTTCTAAGTAGGAGGTTCAAGGAACGAAAGCAAGTCAATTGCTGCAATTTAAGCGACTGGGGACAGACGGCAATGAAGGGGAAATTTCAACACACCCACCCCCCTCACACACGTGTCTCAATAAGGCTGAAGAGTGGACAATACGGGAAGTCCAATAAGTGATCTAGGATAGACTCTAATACCATCTTAGAGTATGTGGGTTGGGCCTAACTCAACCTTACTAAACCAGCTTGTAAGGTGGGGATTGTCCCCACTTATAAATACAACACAGGTCATATCTCTAAACAATGTCCGACTAAACCCCTTCAAACCCAACACAGTGAAGGTGTTGGAGACTGCAAAGAAGGCAAGCCAAATGCCGCAATGAAGGTGACTAGGGGGGGCCGCAATGAAGGATAAAATTCCAACAACGCCTAAGGTCTATATCAAAAAGAGTTCAATAATAGGTACTCACGTTGTTTTTCCATATGCCTTGCCTATCTCACTTGAAACCGTGTCGCTCAACTTGGTACAGAAACTGGCAACAAACCCGAGTCTCCAAAGCTGAGAAAATGCTGCACCTCCAACTCCAAAAATCGCCATGAGAGAACAAACGCAACCGGCAGCACTGGATCCAATAACACTCTCGGGACCCCTTCTTCCTCTTTTTTTCTCAGCAACTCCTTCTTCCATTTTCTGCATAATTTTGACTTTTGTTGCAGCTGTACCCTAAACAAATCCTAAACAAATCAACACCAAAGTACAAAAAGCCTCAACCTCATAAGCAAAAACAAAGAAAATTTCCATACACACGCGCATAATTGCCTAGATCCCTATGAAGTTTAACACTCCAAATTCCAGAAAACCAATCCACAATACTCTCAACACCCATTTGCAGAATTTTACAGAATTCCATAATTAATAACTTTTCAGATAAAGCAAATCCCAAACCCTAAAAACAAAAACAATCAAAATCCCTTGCACCCATCTTCAGAATTTTACATAACTCCATCAATTACCAAATTTTGCACACTAAAAAAAATATCATTTTCATCACAAACAACACAAATTCTAAAACCCTAAAACAAAATCAACAAAAATCACCAAACCCAATTTCCAAATTTCATAACCCTCCAAAAAAAAAAAAACTTTGCCGTCAAATTTCATCACTTACAAAACAAACCAACCATAACAACAAAGAAAATCGAGCTCACAATGACGAAAAAGGCGGCAACAAGTAGAAACCCATGAGACCCAAAAGCACGCCAAGTGAGAGTACCAAGCAAAAAAGCAGCAAGAATCCCTGAAAACGACAACCCAGTAACCAAAATTGGAGAACCCAACAGAAAAATCAAGAGGTTACTCAGCAAAGAGGATTCCCACGTGGCAGGTGACGATTGAACAATTGCCACAGCTCCTCCAATAGCATCTTGAAAACTAGAGACACGCGAAGAATACATGATTTTGGTGACCCTATTGCGAAGAACGAGAGGGTTTTGAATTGGAGGTGTGAATTTGGGTTTTGGAGAGAGAGTAATGGGTTTGCGTGGGAAGTGAAAAGGAAGAGAAAGATACGTGATCGAGTGAAGAGTTAATTTCGCCATAATGTGTGTGTGTGTGTCAACGTGAAGGAATAAAGAATGAGAATGAAAGAAAACTAATTTTTGAAAACTACTAGTGTTTGATTTTGTTTTGTAGCTGTTTTTTTTTTTTTACATTTACCTTTTAATTAATTTAAAGTTGTAAAAATAGTTTGATGATTTAGTTAGTTTCTTTGAAAAGAATGGAGTTTTAATTTGTTCTCTTTACATGTATAAGATTTTGTAGGTAACTCGGATTGGGGCTGGAATTAAGCACTTGTAATTAATAGATAATATTATAATAGTACCATAATTCAGATGCTGCGTTATATTTGGAGAAATGGTGAGATGAGGTCGATGTATGTTACGATGTTTAAAAGTCATTTACTCGTTACGACCATTGTTTATGAATGTAATGGTTACGTCCGTTATGGCTATGAATGACTATTAAACCTATTAAATTGTGGCTATTCAGTATCCAATGAAGGAGGAGGGGTTGCAATACAAATTGGGTCTTTAACAACATAAAAGTGGGGCAATCGATGAATAACATAAAAAAGAAGGATACACGTGAAAACCTTGGATCACCAACTATGGTGGCCATTCACCCCACCTAAAAATCCATCAGACACCAAATTTCTTACTCCTTTGCGATCCCTCCTGACCAGCTTCAGGGGATTAACCAATTGATATTTTTTGCAATAATATTTGGCGTCCACCGTGGGATCCGCTAAAACAGACCCGGCCTCGAGATTCACTTTTCCTCTAAGTTGGTGTTGGTAACATTGATGGGAGGCAAGGTGTTAGAGTTCTTCAACCTTTGAATCTTGTTGATGAAGGTTAATCCTTACCTATTATGGTGTCATCTTTAAAGAATCTTTGGTTTTCCCAAACAATCATATAAATGGTGTTTCTTCAAGTCTCATCCAATAATGTTTCTCTAAGTCGTATCGTTGCCGCTTGATTGTCACTTGAAAGCTCCAGTTGTTAGTATATGAAAAACATATAAAGTTAAAGCAAACTTAGTTCATTTTCTTAAAGGTTCGAGTAATATGATATTAAATATGTAACTGTGTTTGGATATCATTGTTGTACCCCATAATTTTCCCTCCTTATTTTACTTTTATCTGACTTATATTTCTCATTTCATCAGCATACACTTCATTAGGTCATTTGCATAATATTCATTCATTCAATATATAAGGCACCTTGGTTCAAAAGGATCAGTGATCATGGAAGCTAGAATTTCGCAGTTGTTTGATGTGTATATATCAAATAAGCTTGTTTCATTTGATTCTTCGTTGCACATTAAACTATGAAATTAGGATTTTGATTCATGGTTATTATGGACTTCTTCTTCATCAAGCTACAGAACTATTATCCTTCATGATTCATCAAGATCATTGATTAGGGTTTCTTCAAAGCATTTCAATAATGAATCTTGTGAACTAGGGTTTTGGTACCTTGACTATCTCAAGCCTCATTTCCTCAACATTTCAAAGGGGTGCTTTTCCAAAAGGTATCTCCTAACTTCTTGGTTGGCACAAGTCATGATCATATAGTCTGCTTCTCAAGGACTCAAAAGTTTGAATGAGAATATATGGAATTCTTTGTTGCTCTTAGTTCAAGTAATATATTTGTATTCATCATTTGGTCAATACATAGTGCATATATTGGGGAACTATCTTTCATCATTCAATATCCAATCAATGAAGCTTTGTGTATAGTTCAAAAGTTGTTTTTGAATTGTAATACAAGACATTATAAGCATGGATTTAAGGCATTCAACGAGGGTTTATTCAATCATGGCATACAAGGTCAATTTTGATTCAAGTTCTTCTAGAAAACATAAGGTACTCATCATGGAGTGAATTTGAAGTCGCATGGATAAAGTTTTTTACTTCGACTAAAGTGTGACTAAAGCTTTCATTTACCAAAAGCTAGAGAGTTAAGCTAAATATTTGGAATATTTGAAATGACACAACAAAAAGCAACATGAAAATCATAGAGATTTATCAACAAGATTCAAAAGGATTCTCTTGCAAAATGTTCATAACTCATGGAAACAAAATGATGTTTATCATGTCAAGTTCCAAATTCCATCAAGCTTCATTCAAGTTTTACACAAAGCTATACATGAATTATGATATTACAGGGTAAGAATTACACAAAAGAAAAGATTACAACAAAGCATGTTTTGAAACCTAAGATAGCTAAGACTCATTTCACCCTATGGCTTCATGTTATCACCATTTCTATTCAAGACTTTCATGCCTTTACTCAAGAAAGCCAGCCAAACATGCTTGCTCCAAGTTGGCTGATTTCAAGCTGCACTATCCAAGCAACAAACTTGCAACATCAAACATACAAGCCACAAAACCTACAACCAAGTTGCAACAAAACCCGGCGCTGTCTTAACCATCAAAATTGTGGCCTTGCAATAGTTCACCATGTTCACAAAACCTGTTCAAAAATAAATCCAAACAGAAACAATTCAATAAACCAAAACAAAAACCTGCATCCATAAGACAATTCTTGTCCAAACACAAAATCGGATATAACCCGGCTCACTTCTAAACCGTGACCCTGCATCAAACACAAAACAATAAGTTTGCAATTAATTTAAAAAAAGAAAAGAAAAATGTAAAGAGAAAAAATAAGAATCGTGCAAGCAAGTTTCGTTGTTCCAGCGCTCAGCAATAACATAATTTCATAACAAACTAATCATCACCATTCAAACTCCATTCGATCCAAAGGCCAAGAATTATCAATTTGTAACAAACTTTTCCCAACTTAATCAATCTATAAATAGCCAGTTCCTTCTTCTTCGCGATTCATTCTTCAATCTCTGAAGAATCACCACCAAAACTCTCTCTGAAATTCTCCAAATTGCATCTTCTCTCATCTCTCTGAACTAAACCTCTCTGCACAGAACAGAACCTTCACGCATCAAGATCAACGCTTCATTCTCCGACAGGTAAGCGTTAATGTTTTCTTCTTCTCTATCGTTTCCACTGTTTGGTTCATATTCGTGTTAAGTTCGAGATCAAATCGAAAGAACAGTGGCGCAGTGATGAAAGCGAGAGTAAGACAGAGATACGAAGGTGATGAGCGCGCGGCGGGAGGAAGAGGACAGAATCGTGATGAAGCAAGAGAGAAGACATGAGAGACGGAACAGCGGGATGAAGACGGAACGGATGCGATGAAGAGTCGAACGGAGAGGATAAGTGAAAGAGATAAGCGGCACCGCGTTTGAGAAGAAGGGAGGGAAAGAGGTCTTTTGTTCAAAATAAGCTGAGCATCACAAACATAAACCCTATGCATCCAACGACTTCGTTTTCCATTTGTTTCATTATTTTCTCTCTTTTTTTAATAATATAATATAAATCTGATTAATGTGGATATGTTGGTGGACTGAAGTGAAATCCGTTGGGCTATTCTTGCGCCTCACCCCCTTAGGCCCGTTACCACTCCGTTTTTGACAGCCTGGAGCTTGAAAACAAAAAGCTGATTGTGGACCCTTGTTGCTGGGCCTTGCGCCACCACCACCTGATCCAGAACCTTGGAACCCCTGGCATTTTATTTTTCTATTTTATTTTGGTTCTTGTTTGTTAGTTTTTTAATCCATAATTGATTAATTTCTTGACATGATAAAAAATAATAAAAATATTATCGATTTTTTTTTACTTTTTATAATTATAATTATTTTGTTCATTTTTTATGAAATGATGATAATGTCAAAAAAAATTGATTCCGATAGAATTCGAATCCAGAAACATTAGCACAACAGTATCTTGTACCAAGAGTCAAATCAATGCACTAACACTTTCAAATTGTAAATAATTCCCTCATAATTTATTTATAACAAGCATACCATATCCACCATTGAAATATCATCATTATGATACAACCAACTAAATTTTGCTACTTTAACATCTACAACCTCACTCAACCTCGTCACTTTTGTATGACATGTAGACGCTATTGGACAAGAGAGGTGCATTTAAAAATATTTCAGTTGGTGGAGGGTGTCGTAGAAACAACAAAAAGAAATTGTTACGGTGTTTGGAAACGTTAACATGGGTCTCGTCAACTCAGATCATATGGGATTTCAAATTGGTGTTGGTAATGGTAACTGGAACTCACCTTCTGTTTTTGCTTCAGCTGCTGTAGGTGGTGGTGGTGGAAGTATCAATCATTATAATTAGTTTTAAATCATAATAATTAGTTTTTATTATTCAACTTTTGTATATCTGTTTTCTCTTTATTTAGGCTAACAAATAGAGCTAAATTGGTGGAGTTTATTTGTTTGACTCTTTCCAATTTACATTATCAATTTGTATATTTATACTGTTGTAACCTAATGACAGTATTATCAATTCAATTCATTCTACACATATCTCTATATGGTATCAGCCTAATACACGATCCTTCTTTTCTAACACAGGACGCCGCTCCTTCTCCTTCTTCTTTTTTTTTGCCTCCCATGGCCAACGACAACTCCTCATCCATTAACAACCCCCATGAGCCATCAAAACCCTTCACTTGCATCACTCTCAGCAGTGTCACCAAGCTTCTTCCCTCCAATTACCTCATCTGGAAACTTCAAGTTGCAACTCTCCTTGATGGTTATGATCTTCTCAAATATCCAGATGGATCCTTTTCTGCACCGGCGACAACACTCTCCACCACTGCTGAACCTCCGGTGACGACTCCGAATCCTGCTTATCAAACCTGGCGTCGACAGGACCGTCTTATATATGGTGCTCTCCTCACCACTCTCTCCCTTGAAGTGGCATCCCTGGTGTCTCAAACAAAGACATCACATGATCTCTGGACTCTTCTCCAGAGCACCTATGCCAAGCCATCCCGCAGGCACCTCAAGCAGTTGAAGGAGCGTATCCATACGGCATCCAAAGGTACCCAATCCATTACCACCTACATGCATTCTCTGAAGCAAACTGCAGATCTCCTTGCATCACTTGGCTCCCCTGTCTCCGTTGAAGATATGACTGATCATGTCTTGCGTGGCCTCGACGACGGCTACAAAGCTGTCATTGACAGTGTCAATCCAAGGGACACTGCCATTCCTTTTGATGACCTTCTCGAGAAGCTTCTCTTTCAAGAACTCTCTCTGGTTTCTTCTCAGAGACAGGTTCCTTCTCCAATGACAGCCTTGAATGCACAGGCTCGCCCTAACCACTATGACAAAACTCGGTCTGGGCAATTTTCTGCATCCTCAACTTCACGCCCTGGAAATCGTAAACCGTTTCTTGGTCGCTACCGGTGGTGCAATGTCAAGGGCCATGTTCTGTCTCAATGTCACACCTTCAAGCAGCAACACCCTGGTATCCCGCCGCCTCCTCGTTCCTCTTCGGCTAACCCTGGACAGGTTCAGGTCCATACCGCAACTGCTGGCACATCTCAAACAATTTTTTTGGTGGACAGTGGAGCGACGCATCACGTCACCAATGATCTTGCCAATCTAGCGCTTCATCATCCGTACACGGGTCCAGACTCACTGTTTATGGGTAACGGTTCAGGTTTAAACATCTCTCATTCTGGAACACTTTTACTTAATGATTTATCCCTCTCACATACTTTGTGCGTTCCTTCCATGCAATAGAAAATAATTTTTGTCTCTCAGCTCACCAAACAAACTAACTCTGTTGTTGTTTTCTTGCCTAACTCTTTTCATGTAAAGGACTTGCAGACGGGTCAAACAACTCATAGAGGCTCATGTGTGGATGGACTCTATCTCTGGCCAGCCAACTCCCTGTCCGTCCACTCTGTCTGCATAGATTCCTCTGCTTCATGGCACCATAGACTTGGGCATCCTTCCTCTTCTATCTTCACATTTATTCAGCAGCATTTTTCTTTGGGTTCAAATAAATTCCAACAATCAGATTGTAACTCATGCCAAATTAGCAAAAGTCATAAACTTCCTTTCCGTGAATCCACTCTTAAATCGTCTTATCCTTTAGAAATAATTTTCTCTGATGTATGAACTTCTCCTGTTTTATCAATTGATGGTCTTTGTTACTATTGCATGTTTGTTGATCATTTTACTCGCTATATTTGGCTATATCCGATGAAATGCAAATTTGATGTGCAAACTTTGTTTCCCAAATTTAAAGCGCTTGTTGAAAATTTCTATCATCACAATATCAAAATCCTTTACACGGATAATGGTGGCGAATATATTGGTCTTCGTCCTTTTTTAAGCACTCATGGAATAAGTCATCACACCACCCCACCTCATACACCTGAACACAATGGAATTTTAGAACGCCGGAATCGGTATATTGCTGAAACTGGTCTCTCTCTTCTCCATCACTCAGGTTTGCCCCTCACATATTGGCCTCACTCCATGACAACAGCCGCCTATCTCATAAATCGTCTCCCAACACCAATTCTTGGGTACCAGTCACCCTATTCCAAACTCCTCAGAATTAGCCCGGATTATCATAAGTTAAAGTGTTTTGGTTGTTTGTGTTTTCCCTGGATTAAACCATATACTAACCATAAACTTGTACCAAAGTCTGCTATGTGTATTTTTGTAGGTTACTCGGCTGATCAACATGCATACTTGTGTCTCGATCTTACCACAGGAAGGATCTACACCTCTCGCCATGTCAAGTTCGTTGAATCTAAATTCCCGTATAGCTCTCTAGTACCTCAGGCCAGTCTAAATGCAGAGCAACAAACAAGCCCACTTCAGCTCTCCATACTCCAGCCCATAAACCAACCCATGGAGTCGGAGGAGGTCTTGGCTGGACCTTCATCTCCATCCTTCACCAACTCCCCGACTCTGGACTAACTTTCCACTGGACACTCTGAATCCACTCACTCAATTCCAACCTCAACATTATCCCCACAATGTTCTGTGCCACCACCCCAACCCGATGGAGGTGGCATCATAACTCGATCTAAAAACAACATTGTCAAACCCCTTAAGAAGCTTAACCTCCATGTCCAACCCTCTTCTCCACTCGAGCCCAACACCATCACCCAAGCTCTTCGCGACCCTGATTGGCGCTCAGCCATGCAAGCTGAGTTTGATGCCTTACACAAGAACAACACTTGGGAACTTGTCAGTCGGTCCTCTACTCAAAATTTAGTTGGCTGCAAATGGGTTTTTCGAATCAAAAGACACCCGGATGGATCGATTGATTGGTACAAGGCTCGGCTAGTCGCCAAAGGTTTTCACCAATGCCCTGGTTGGGACTATACAGAGACATTCAACCTAGTTGTTAAACCGGTCACCATTCACATTGTCCTAACACTTGCAGTTCATCAAGGATGGTCCATCCGCCAACTTGATGTCAACAATGCATTTCTTTAAGGTACGCTCAAAGAGGAAGTATTCATGCTCTAGCCCTCTGGTTTTATTAACAAAAGCTTCTTTGATCATGTTTGCCGCCTAAAAAAGGCACTATATGGGCTAAAGCAAGCACCCCGCGCTTGGTATACAGAGCTTCGAGTGTTTCTACTTTCTCTTGGCTTTGTCAATTCCACTGCAGATGCATCTCTCTTCATCTACCAAAAATCAGGTTCCACCCTATATTTATTAGTATATGTTGATGATATCATTGTCACTGGGAGTTCCTCTACAGACCTGTCCAACCTCATTTCCACCCTTGCTGCTCGGTTTTCGCTTAAAGACCTTGGATGTCTCAACTATTTCTTGGGCGTCGAAGTAATTCCTTCCGCTACAGGACTATTTCTTTCGCAAAGGAAATACATCACTGATCTACTCCATAAATCAGGCATGGCTAACCCAAAATCAGCACCCACTCCCATGTCCGCCAGTGCTCCATTACTCAAGGATTTCGGTGATCTCCTACCTTCCCCAACTGATTATCGCGCACTCGTGGGAAGCCTTCAATGCTTAAGTCTTACTCGCCCGGACATCTCCTTCAGCACCAACAAACTTGCGCAGTTCATGCAACATCCAAGAACGGCGCATTGGTCTGCCCTCAAACGGGTGCTCAGTTATTTAGCAGGCTCTTTCAACAAAGGCATCTTCATCTCGGCAACTGCTCCACTAACCTTTCATGCTTACTCGGATGCAGATTGGGCGGGTGATAAGGATGATTATATCTCCACCACCGGTTACTTGTTGTATCTTGGTAGCACTCCCATCTCTTGGAGCTCCCGGAAACAACGCTTTGTTGCTCGTTCCTCAACTGAAGCAGAATACAAAGCCTTGGCTGACACTGCCAATGAGCTTCTATGGGTCTTATCCCTGTTCACTGAACTTGGTCACATGCCCACAGCCAATCCAGTTATATATTGTGACAACCTTGGTGTCACAAGTCTCA